CCAATGACCATGCAGTTACACTGCGTTATTGAAAAGGCTTCAGTATTCGGAGAAAAACGTGTTTAGCAGACGCAGTACGAGTGAAGTATCGATAGGGAACATTTCCTATTAGAGTGGTCAAAATACCAATTACGGTAAATCTATTGTGTTTTCCCTTTATTTTATTCCAGCCATAATGAAAATTAAAATATCCTTGAAAATGATTAAAGGTGTGATTAAAGGTGTAGTATGCAATTTCTATGCTATGTCTATGTCACAGTACCATAAAAATGTCTTACTATAGTAACCCAGCTGAAGTATCACAATACCAATTAATATCACAATACCATGCAGTATTGTGTTAATTCATAATTCAAATCTAAATTAACCAAATTTTTATGCAAATGAAAACAGATTTCCTCTGAATACTTTGTTAGTTAGAATGAATAACTGGCTATTGTTAACAGTTGAATGAAATCAAATCCATCTTAACACTGCACAGTAGCACAGAAGCAGCATTAAGTTATATTTAGATGTGGTATTAATCCATTTACGCTGCAGTTGCAATTGCATAAATATAATGTTAGGCCTATGATATTAATGTTTTAATTGTAGAACTCTGAATATAGAAATATTAAATAAAATAAATAAATAAATAATAGGCCTAGGCCTACTTTTAAATGAGAAATAAAAACCACCAGTAGGTGGCAGCAAGTCTTAATGATTGAGTCACTGAATCATTTATTCAACAGCTGATTCATTTAGGAATGAAGCAAGTGACTGTTTTTATGAATGGCTCAGTGAATCATTCACCTGATTTGTTCAAAAACATATTCATTCAGAAACAAAACATCTTTGTGTGTTGCTGGGGGAATCGCAACAGTTCTGCTTTGTTTATAACTATTTTCTTTGGCGAAATAGAGCAGACATTTCAATATTGACAATGTGTCTAAAATGTAATTTAGTATTAACTTTTGTTTATTGAACCTTAGTATAAAAATAGCTTTTGATACAGTTGATCATTAAATTTTATTGGAAAAGTTGTACAAATATGGTTTTCATGATTTTACATATAAATAGTTGAAGAATTACATTTTTAATAGAAGACAGTTTGTTTGTTTTAAGGGTTGCTATTCCAGTAAAGCAAGTCTACTCTGTGGGGTTCCTCAGGGGTTCATATTTGGACCATTGCTATTTCTTATTTATATAAATGACTTGTCGAATGTTTCAAATATTTTTACTCCAGTAATATTTGCTGACGACACAAACTTAGTTCTCTCTCACTCAAATTTTAATGAATTGATTAAGAATGCAAATGATGGTCTAATTGTTTATGCTAATTAGTCTAATTTAAGCAAATTATCTTTAAATATAAAAAAATCAAGTTTTATTATTTTTAGTGGGGAAAAATTATACCCTATTTATCAAAAATTACTATTGAGTCTACTGAAGTGCCTCAAGTGTCAACTGAACTACTAAATTCTTGGGTGTTTTTGTTGATGAGACTTTGAGTTGGAGGGAACAGGTTGATTACATGAGCAGAAAAATACATAAATCTACTGGTATAATAAGGAGGGTTAGGCACCTTGTTACTACAGAGTGTCTTCTTACGCTTTACTATAGTTTAATTTATCCGTATATTTGTCATTTAGTTTGGGCGAGTTCTTTTCCTACAAAAAATATTTATTCTTCAGAAGCGTTTTGTTGGGATTGCAACCCGATCAAACATATATGCTTCTTTATTTCATAAACTTCAGGTTCTTACTATTTTTCCACATATGTGTATTTATGTATAAGATATATTCACGTGAGGGTAACATTCCAGAGCAATTTAGAATGTATTTTAAAGTCAATTCACAGTTTCACTGTTATTTAACTTGACAAATTTCAAATTTTCATCTTCCTAAAGTTCTCACTTGTAGAGGTCAATACTTGATAAGAGTTAGGGGTATTAAATTATGGAATGGTTTATCCCATAGCAAAAAAATAAATTAAAAAAAATCCTCTTTAACATGTTATAAAATATGTATAAAGGATCAAAGGCTTTGAACTAGTGTATTTTGTCTTTTGTTTTTATGTATTTTATGTACCATATATGGTTTGTTTTTGGAGTATATCATTTCTAGGTTTTTTTACATGATGTAATTAATTTGTAGTTATTTATATTTATATATTTGTTATTGTAATTTAGCTCGTTTTTTTAATTTCATTAATGGTTTGTTTTTGTTTCCTACATCGTTTACGTGGAAGCTCTAAATAAGCCCTTTGTCAGTCTTGTGTTCCTGTGCCTTGTGTTTCTCTCCCTCTTATGCCCTTATTTGGTCCTTCCTCTCTGTATGTTCATTTAGTCCAGGTGTTCCCCATTTAGTTCGTATTGTTCCCAGGTGTGTACCATTTGTTTCTGTGTATTTAAAGTGTTCCCAGTTCTCTGTCTGCTGTTATGTCATCCCTGAGTTCCAGTGGTTGTATCCCGTTGTTTGTTTTATTAAAGTCTCTGAAGTATTCCCCTCGTTCCTCCCAGAGAGACTGTGACACCCTTTGGGTTTTCTGCCTTTTCTTGTTTTGTTTTTTTCTGTGTGTGTGTGTGTGTGTGTGTGTGTTTTTATTGTACACTGTAAAATGTAATAAGCTGACTTTACTTAGATAAAGTGAGGAAAACGATTGCTTTAAAATTTCTATGTAAAGTAGTGTGTTAATTTTAAGTTGGCATAACTTAAAACAGTTTGTACAGAAAACTTAAAGTATAATTAAGTACTGTTGACTTAAAATAATTAGTTGTGTAAACTTCTTGTTAGTGTTCAAATTACTAGGAAAATAGGAAACCGATTGCCTTAAAACTATGTAAAGTGAAATAGGAATAGTATGTTGTACTGACAAATGTGTAGTTAGTATAGTCCACTTACATGAGAGTTCTAGTAACTAAAAAAGAACTGCAGGGAGTACTTGATTATTTACTTTAGGTTTACTCTTGATTTAGTACAGCTACTCAGAATTACTAACTCCCAGAGTGCACTGCGGTATAAATAAATTATGCAACTGCTTTAACTTTTTTAATTTGTCAATTTTATTTGCTGTCTTGTGTCAGTAGTACAACAAAAAGAGCAAAAAATTGGCTATTGTTACAATTAATAAAATGTAATTGTTACCATTGTTGTGTTTGGTGTGCTGAATGTTGAAGTCTGTGTGTGACTGTGTGTACCATGTGAGCATGGTCATTTGCAAAATATTGCTACAAATATTAAAAGATTATATCAACCCAAATAAAAGCTTCAGAAGGTGTTTATGAAAAACAATAAAATTGTAAAAGATCGTTAATCAACATGAAACAGACAGTAGCTAATGATTTAATAAGAAGTTAGGTTACCTTCTAAAAGTAACCTATTTATTACTTCCCTTCCTTTGAAACCAGATAACTATTTCATAATGCATTGTTGCATCAGTAGGAAGAGAATTCCAAGAGTTCCAAGTGGCCAACCAAAGAGAGCAGTAATCACTATAATGGTGAGTTCAAACAAAAACGTTTTTTAGGAAAGTCAACATCAATTTATTAAGTCAGCTTATGTGATGTTCTCTCAAAATTTTCAGTTGTATTGACAATTCAACATTCAAGATGACTTTGGCAAAAAAGTGAATGCAACTAGAGAAAGAGAACTGCATAAGTGGAGGAAATGAGGCAAAAGTCTATTAAGAATTGCCCCCTCTCAAAAACGTTATTTCCTCTGCTTCTTCTTCTTCTTTTTCTGTTGATTTGTTGCACATTAGTAACATTAGTGCACTGCTGCCTCTCACTGGTGTATTAATGTCATTGGTTCCTTTGTGGCTACTTGCATATTTTAAGTCTGCATCACTCAAAACAGTAAGTAAATTGTTTTATTTGCCTTGAAATTAGCTGTAACTTAATAAAACCTAATAAGTATAACAACTAAGTAAAGATAACTAATTATATCTAAGTAAGGTAAACTATTGGATTTTACAGTGTACTTATTTTATCTTTGTGCGAAAAACACATTTGCAATCATGTGGATATACAGCACTCCTGCTGATCATATTGCTGAACTACTGTATCATGTTATATAAAACAGTAACATATGCAGGAGCATTTTTCTCCACAGCTTGAAACTCTGACTGATGGCCAGTATGTATATACTAACATATAATTCATTTAAAAATGTTAAAATCACATTATATGAATGATAAGAACCCAGTGCAAATGCCGCTAAGTTGATGAATGAAAATGCATTTGTCATTGCAAAGATAGTTCTAGAAACTACAAGCAATAGTCCAGGCAAGGTGCAAACACAGTCCGAAACAGCAGGCAAAGGGTTAATCCAAGATACACAGGCAGAAGATCAGGAAACAGACAACAAGGCAACACGAAATGACTTAGACTAGAACTAGAAACGTAAACTTGGAATGGCTCCGTAATGTAGCTATGGCTAGAAGAGTGATATAAGCTAGACAATACTCGGCAGTGAAAGAGAAGAAGTCCATGGCTTATAAAGCGGGTCTCATTGGATGCAGCTGTATGTGTTTAATCAGTGCAATGGATGATGGGAAATGCAGTCCAGGGTGATGTGTAATAGTCTGTGTGGTGTGAGAGTCAATGTAATGGGAGAGCGACCTCTGGTGGCAATCGGCCGGAAGGCCATGGACCGGATTCGTGACACTTTTTTTTATTTTTTTTAATGCTTTATTTAGTGACAATTCACATACAAATTGACAATAAAAGCAAAAATGTCAATAAATTCAAAGAGACAATGATTGTAAAAAAATGATGCAAAATAAGGAAGAAAAAGGAAAAGGAAAAAAAAACTAAATAAATCAACTATATACAGAGGGGTATTGAGAACAAATCCATATCTCTAACTACAAAATAAGTGCAAAGGTCCTTAAAAAGGATAAAGTTTCAAGGCTTTACAACAATCTATAGTCTTTTTTGCTTTAGAGTTCCTTACACCTTCCATCACTTTAAGATACTGACAGAGCTCAAATTTAAATGGTAAAAAACTAGGTGTCGGATTCGTGACACTAACCAACTAGGCCTATTCTAGAAATGGTCAAATGATCGAGCAATGGATACACAACAGAAAGGCTGCAGAAAGACTCTCTTGTAATGTTTTTGCATACATGTGTTCAAATTAACCTTTTAAATAGTTTACCTGACGCACATATAGAACATTACTGCAGTACTGACTATACTACCGTTTAAAAAAAATAATATCGCGATACTACTGCAACCCTAGATGCTATTTTGCTATTACAAAAAAATAAAGAATCTTTTTAAACAACCTGTGTAAAAGCCCCTTACACTCACCATGCCCTTACAGTTATTCTTATTCTTACAATATTTTATTGGAGGCTGTACAGTAAAAGAGCTAACATGTAGCTTGTCATAGTAACAGAAACACATTTTGGTGCTTTAAGTGTTCATAACAGCGTATGAGCCACTGGAGCTGTCTGAAGATGTAACTGCTGAGGAAAGGTTGGTTTCGGATACGTTGTACACATCTGAAAAAAGTTAGTTGCATGTTACTCACTGAACTGTCTACTGTATTCACATTAACTCATTTAGCAGTCATATTTATCCAAATGAGAAATACTGTGTAACAACATTAGAGATTCATCTAACTGAAAATATATTCACAAATATTAGCTTTCAGATATGTCATCTACTTACGCCTCCGTTGCTTCCTTCGCAAGAAAGGCAGGCCAGATGTGGATGATGTTCCTCCACTGGTGCTCTGTAGGGAGATATCAGTCAAAATAAATCACAGAGTCAATGTAAAAAATATTTAAGGAGGGGGTAAAAGCTGAACATTAGTAAAAGAGTTCATATAAGTATGTGTTATTATAGAATGGCATTTACCTTGGTACGACTGGAACTGAGTTTCTGTAGCAACCGTTTTCCTGGTAGTGACTCACGAACCTGCAATCAGAGATCTCTAGTTAATTTCTAGAAATTTCTTGAAAGGATCTTAAGCTCTGTGCAATAGAAATAAACTCATACCTTGCTGTCTAAAAGCGTACCAAACACCAAAATAAAGAATCCCTAATAGAAGGAAGTGTTACAAATACATGAAGGTATCAGTTGCAATATGGTTCAATTTTAAAATACAACAACACAAAAATTGACATAATAATTTAATGTGCAGCATTAGTGGATTGCATATATTTGAATACATGCACAAAATGTAATCTTGCTATAAAATTGACATGATAAAGTAGTACCTGCAGTGAATTGAGGAGTGCAAACACCACATGAATACCAAAGTCACGTGATACCATGGTTCCAATGCCAAATCCCCATGTTAGACCAAAGATAGGAGTTAAAATGGCCACACATCTGGCAATGACCACCAGGGCATGTTTCTCATCTGGTTGAGTTGCGGCACCAACTCCTCTCCTCAACATCTTGTACAGAACCACAATCAAAACTACAAGGTTTATGGCTACAATAGTGAAAGCTGGGATCACAAATGCCAACAGGGCCTTTGATTCGTTCCAGTTCAGCCAGCATGCATTTTTTTTGGAAATATAATTTTTAGGTCCAGCTGTTGATGCAACAGTGATGACCGCTATGAGCAAAGGTGCACCATAACCAACTATGAAGGCAATGACCATCATTTTGGCCCTTGACATTTGAGACAAGACCATGACTGTACGGTAAAAGAGCAACAGCGCTGACAATAACATCCAGAAGAAAAGAGCCAGGTAAAAAAAGTGCATGAAGAAAACCACTGGACTGCAGCGACCCACTGAGGGTGGCTGCTCTTGTTCTGCGATTGCAGCTCCAATGATAAAACAGATGTTTGCGATCAGCAGGGACACGGCAATGTTAACTATGGAGACATGTCGCATGTAGGATGTGTCATTTCTTCTCACTGATTTCCATACGATAGTCTCAATAATCAGGCATATAATCAAGCTGGCCATTGAAATAGCTACGCCAATGTAAGTTATAAAGTCTAAGACTTCGTGATCAATGGAAAACGGTGACATTAAGATTGAAAAGGAAGTTGTGTGGTTGCATTCACATGTAATCTTGCCAGTTTCATTCCCTTTACTTATATAGGGCTTTACTTCGCATCCAGTGGAATCCCAATTGCTGAGATTGAAGTTCCAAAAGACACACTGAGGATTTCCCAAAGACTGATCAGTAATGTCAAATGCAAAAGATATGTTGTTAAGAGTTTCATTAACCTTAACAACAACCACATCTCCATTGATGTTATAATATAATATAATATAATATAATATAATATAATATAATAATGGACAGGTTTAATTCATGATAATGGTGAGAGTGGCTATAACAATACAAAATAACAGTAAGTAAAATTAATTATCAATTAATTTATCTTAACTAAACATTAGTTTAATTCAATCCAACAAGCATAACACATCTACACATTACATTTTACAAGCTTGAATGTGAATATACATACCTCCATCACTATTTTTTTGATGACAATAGTTTGTGACAAGTCGGCAATTTTAAAGAGTATGTCAACAATTGCTTGGACAGTAGCAGCAGACTGGGTTATATTAATATTATTCTCTGATGTGGCAATACTGAGGTCAGCCATAAACCCTGGAATCTCCTCCACACGCAAGGACTGAATTGCAAAGTACAAAAAATACAAATATCAGAAACATTTAAAATGGCCAGATCATTGTAGATAGATATGATCAATAGATTACCTCAAGTTTGTTTTTAAGGTTGTCGATAACTTCAAGTACACAGTTGTCCTCTAATGGTTTCCAATCACGTGATTCACATTTGTAAGTTATGGTGCCTTTCGTGCCAATTCCACAGACTCCTGTTTTTACGTCATTTGTATTTCCAACTCCAATTTCTTCATTTCGACAGTCATAATCTGAAGAATTATTTTATTAAAAATCAGAAGTAAACAGATGTGATTTAATGGTTTCTCTCAGAACAGAACATCACATTATACTTTATAGATTTTGGGACTTGAAAGTACCCCTGCAGGCTACTTGCACATTATGCAGAAGCATAAGAAATAATTAGGGTCAAATGACTAAACAATTGACCAGTACATTCAACACCAGATAATCAGGTGTGCTGCAATCCAAAGAAAAGTCTGCTAGACCGTAAATACCATTTAATGCAACTGTACAACAGTAAAAAAGCACTTTGATGCTGAAAACAATGAGAAACTGAAGGCTCACTTTCTGTGCTTGTCCTTACTGTGACGCTGCTATAGCTATAACTGAAATAAAGTTTAATGCTGGTGTCTTCTGTGTTGTTGCCTTTGTTCAGTTTGTTCCATGTATCACTGACATTACCTGATACAATAATGTCCACTGTGTTTAGGAAACTCTGGAAATTTAATATAAAATTCTGTATTAAATTATGAAATTTAGCCCATAAAATGTGGAAATATTTAATATATAAGATATATATTTGGATAATCTAATAAGACAAAATATAAGATATTACTATAACCTAGAATAAAAAAAACATGACCTGCCACATTTTTATAAAGAATTCCTCATATAATAATATAATATAATTGTGACGAATGGGGGTGGGGCCGAGAGCCGTGGGAATGGAGCGAGGCCGTTGGAGTAATTGATAATGAGCGACACCTGCACCACTCACCGGTCTCGAGTCCCGCCCCCATTCGTCACAATAATATAATATAATATAATATAATATAATA